GCACACATTGGTGAGAGGCCGTGGTCATCAGCACAAGACACTCACAGCTAACTTCCAAGATTGTGCCAGACAGTAGCTCTCAAGACATCCTAATTCATCATTTTTTCCAAAATTTTCTATTGGCATGCAATTCTCATCACCTTTGGGATGTCAACTTTCCAAAGCACCTAATGTCTGATCAAATATCAACAAACTTCAGGACCAATCAAAGGAGGCACAGAAAAACACAGCGTGTTCCACAAACCTGCTGGAGACAGCTAAAAAAAACCCGATGAATTCTCTATTCACCACAACCTCCTGTCTCACAAGGAGCCCACTGCTGAAAAAAATTTCACCAGACATTTTTAAAAATGTTCAACCAAGTTCCTCCTATGAGGATTCCTAACCTATAAAAAACTAAGTTCTCACAGGTTGAAAGGGTACGTTAAGCAGATTAATAGTGAGCCATAAGATGAGAAACAGCAGCAGAAAAATTATTTTCGCAGAGAAGTTACCAATGAAATCCCAAAGAAAACTGCACTATTCAATACATATAATACAGCAATGAAGTTTCTTTACAATTCAAACTTATCCAAGACAACCAGCTTAAAATATGACTGCAAAACCTTGCAGATGATTCTTGTTTTCCATCCTGGCACTTGGTACTAGCATCCTAAGGGCTAGTAATCAGAAACCGACCCTCAAACCAGAGAATTGTGATTTTTATATTAGCTATTATCACACACGATCTACAAAATACCATGGAAAGCCTTCCTTGAAAAGTTAAACTCTTTGGCCAGTCAGCATCAAAAAGAAAGCAAGACATTTTTACAAAAAGCATTTGAATGAAGCAGAAAACAGAATGCTTCACTACTTAAGTCTCCTGTGTGCACACAGAACACTGCACACAGCCCTGACCCTGTGTTTTAAGGGGAATGCGAGCAAACTAGAAAACAAAGAGAACAGCGACACTGAGCAGATATATGCAATGTCTTCTGTATTAGAGAGGTCTTGATAAACTACTGTCCTTTGGCTTAGGGAAAAAAAACCCCACACAAACAGCAAGGGATATATTCTGCCTTTGGTTTATGGTTTATAAGGTCTAGTAACAGAGTCACATTCTTCTCTCAGGAGATGCTAAAAAGCTCCCATTCTGCTCTTGAGGAAGTCCTACAATTTAAAGTCTACTGTATCAGACCACTAATCCATATTTTCCTACCTTCTTGCATATTCTTTTCTACAACATGCAAGAGGTTTGGGAGTACTTAGGGGTCCGCCCTTTCAAGACATCCTTGTGATGTAAGGAAGTACAGCGTTCTAACTCTGTAGACAACAGACTATTACAGAGTTTCAGGCACTTAATTCCAAATCAAAAAGGAGCTTCTAATGGCACAAACTCTAGCTGGAGGTCAGTAGCCAGCAGTGCCCTGCACCTGAGCAGCGATAACCCCCATGCACCAGTACAAGCTGAGCACTCTCCTACTGGTAAACACCTTTGCAGAGGTGCTGGCAGGCACCAAGTTGAACGTGGAGCAGCACCGTGCCCTTGTGTCGAAAAAGGCCAACGGTATCCGGTGCTGCACCAGCAGGATGGCTGCCAGCACATGAAGGGAGGTGATCCTTCCCCACTACTCAGCACTGGTGGGACCATCTCTGGAGTACCATGTCCAGTTCTGGGCCACCCATGTACAGATGTGCTGGACAGAGTCCAGCAAAAGCCCACTAACCATCAGGGCACTGCAGCGTCTCTCCTATGAGGAAAGCAGTCCTGGGAAACCTGCTCTAGGAGACCCTGCTCAGGAACGGGGGCCAAACTGCTTCCTAAAAATGTCAAAACGCAATATCCTATCTCCTATCAGATAATCTTTATCCTGTGTTTCACACCATCAACATAAACACAAAGATTAAATTTCTTACATATCTTCTTTCAACAAAACTACAGCTACTCAGAATTACATGTTGAAACCTGGCAAGAGAAACGATACTGATTCATACAGTATCACTGTCAGGAGGCATAAGAAAAAGTCAAAGGTAACAGTCTGAAATAAATACAGCATTTCTGGTACAATTTTGAAACATAGTGTTTAAATGCTCACCATTTCTCAGGAGAACAACTGCCTGTGTCTTCGCTTCCTACTCTCACTCCAACTCCAACCCCTCAAAGTTAAGGAAGCAACAGGAGGTAAAAATGAAAAGTAATTATTTTCTGTGAAATACAGGACTGATATACAACTAATTTCAAGATCACCAGACCACCTTCTATGTTTTCAGCTTCTTTGTCCGTACAAGAAAAATTGTTTTTTAATTTCTTTTTCTGCTTAGGAAATGATAGCATCCGCTCTTGAGTAATTGATCTTATAAATAGAAGAAAAGAAGAAAAAGTACCTGTGGCTGAAATGGTGGAGCAGTAGGTCCCTGCATGCCTTGTGACTGTTCATCCATTCTGTCACGTAAAAGTGTCCCTTACGTCCTGAAAAGGGAAATACAGTCATTATACGGTAATTCAATCTGTACTTATGACCAGTTAACACCAGTGGAAGAACTGAAGAATTCATTTTCTCATTCTCACGCTTCCGTTTACCAACACTTAACTGTTCCAGCCTTGCACTGTTTTGGGAGGAACGTTTGCTTATGTTTAGCTGTTCTGTAAAAACAAAATAAACCAGCGTACACATCTAAACTTATTAAGAGGCATGCATTCAACTACTAGAACCAGATAAATGGCTCTGCCTGATAAAAGCTGCATCACCCCATTGCTCTTCAACCACTTGTTTAACTCCACAGATGTCTGCCGGCCAGTACCTTCAGACCGCTGGGCAGCCCAGGAACTAGTAGCTCAGCATAAGAGTTGTAACTGCTGCCTGAATACTGTTACTTATCTGTAGATTTTAGGGGGCATGCAACAGTGTTTCCATCTCAATAGAAAAAAAGCTGAACACACTCACTCCTTAAATTTCAATAAGCTATCTAAGAGGGCTTTGAGATACCGTATTAGGAGCACAGCCTCTATTCCCAGCTATGAACCTCTTGCATCCCGTAAGTAAGATGGGAGGGAAGATGCTCGCCAGGTTCCAAAGACAGAGACATAAGGCTTTGACCAATAATGGGAGTTGCAAAACACATTGAAACATTATTAGAAAGGAGACACGAAACTGCAAATGCTCACAAGGCTTTCTTCCTCAGCGAAACAAATTCTTTCTTCAGCTACACAGCATTTTGTGGAGGCGGAGCAGATGCAGCCCCCAGTTTTACTGGTGCCTATGAAGGCAAGCTCTGTTCAGATGAAGACAACAGAAAGTTCTCTGACAACTTCAGGTGCAAACAATGAAATACAAAAAGGGAGGTGAGCCCTGAACAACACTTTTCAGCACACAAGCACCAAGTGACTCTGCCTATCACCTGGTCAAGCCTGCCAGTGCCTTCAAAGGAACAAGAGTCACATGTCTGACTGAAAAATTACTCTTGCTCTTCAATTTATCTACTTCTTATTTCCTGCTCCAAATCCTGAAAGTTCTAGATATGCTTTGACATAAAACACTTTTCCAACATCTCATCTTTAACATTATGAAATTCCCTATGATAAACTTATTCTGATAAATCTACATACTTCAAATACTGCAAACATCCTTCTGCACACAGAGCTACTTGTATTTCACAAACCTCTCTTTAGAATAAGCACGTAAAATTTCTGCATTTAAGTTCAGCAAGAAAGCATGCAATGTCATCTCTATTAAAACACACACAAAATAAAACTTCCCAGTCATTTCTTAAAAATGTTAGAAATAACTGAACAGAAAGTGGCAAACCTTAGCAGTGTTTGTCAATGCCCACTACAAAATATTTAAGAAATCGTAACAAATAACTTGCGTTCACGGTACTGTTGCCATTCTTTCAGCATTATTGTGGTAACATACTAAGACATAAAATAATCACAAAGCAGCCAAAGTTTCTCGATATACTGCCCTAGCGCACTAACACAGTGGATTGGATACACAACACAATTTGTGAGGGATCTGCTTTCACCTCCCCGTTTAAAGCACTCGCCCCACGTCAATCTGGCACCAGACTACAGCCGTTCTCCAGGGTGACCAGGGGTCCCCTCGGCTTTGCCTTCCTATCCTTAGCACCCCCGTATAAACCATGCAGCTTGGGACTTCCTGTGTCCTTGTCTGAGCATTAGCTCTAATTAATCCAAAGATAAAGAACCTAAAAAAGAAATTTCAAGCAGGTCAAGAGGGGAAGGAAAATTAAATTAAAAATCAAAAAAAAAAAAATCAATTGTCAAACCGAGGTGAGAGGCATTGAAGAGCAGGTACAAATTGTAAAGATTTCTAAGACTGTCAGAATGAGCATGATGAGAAAGGGGAAACACCTGGCCAATACCTAGCCAGGCAGTCTTTTAGCCAGCCCTAGGACACCAATATTGACGCTTCTTGCAACTTCTCTAACATCTCCCACACAACCTCCCTACCAAAGCAAGAAACCGTAATACCACAGCACTGAAAATTAAGCTCTTGTCACAAAACTGCACCTAAATTCTCCAGTTGGACTCACTGGGCTTTATGCAGTTGTAACAAATCCGGGGGGAGGAATGCGTGGCAATCTTAAGGAATCTTCTGCTGATATCTTGCTGTAGAGATCTTTCCGTCACTGCCGAGAAGCCAAGAATTCTTTCACAAAGTACCATTTTAGAGAGCCTTCAGAAGAAATATGATCTTTTCAACAGCATCAATATTCCTACTGAGAGTTTTGCAGTGCATTTACCAGTATGTTTACTAATACATCGACCACATAATGCACCAATTGATAATGCCTATAGGTGCAAACAGTTGTTTAGAAATCCTTGGGGAAAAGAAGTAAATGCAAAACCCTTTTTCTTCTACTGCAAATATTTATCCAGGATTCATGAAATCTAAGCCGAGATGTTTACGTGATGCATGTTGATTCAGGAACTCGACAACCCATTCACCTCATCTGAACGGTCAGAGGCATTATGGAAGCGTTTGGCAATTTGTGTGTGT